ATTCCTGCTTCCTGTCCAGCAGGTGGCACTTAAGATTCAGTAATAACAAGAAATCTGACGTCCCATTAGGGACATCTGAAGTTGTCCAAAACCTTTAGGTTTATTATTTTAAATATATTTTTGAGAATAAAAATTTTCTGTTCAAAAAGTTGCCAGAAAAAAAAAAATCACCATTGTTCAAAATTCCTTTTTAGCTCCATAGCTAAAAAAAAAAGCAGCTTTGTGCTATCTGTGCTGCTGTGCTATCTGATCAGTAGCTGCTTCTGGTTTTAATAAACCCTTCTGTTAAACTGCAAAGAAAAACCAATCTGTCAAAACATAAAGGTAAATTCCATTAGCGTTATGTTAACCATACTGCTAGGCTCTTTGTGAGAATATTTGTTCTACTGCCTTGAAATAGAATCAGTAAAGCAATATCTGGCAATTATCTGACTCAGTCGTGTCAGACTCAAACAAAATTAGATGACCACACAACTGTGTTTAGCATAATAACTGAAAGCCTTCCTATCTAAACTGTTAGAATGTTTTATGGAGCTAAATAAATTACTGCCAGCAGTGAATGTGATTCTGTAATCAGAACTTATTACTACTTCACTACATTATCTCTCATTACCATTAAGATGTATTTTTTGCTGTTGCTGATGCAATTAAATTCTCCCTCTTTCCATTTTCAGATCTTACTGTTGTAAATCTATGTAACTTAATTCTAAAAGTGAGTCATTTCCCTGAAAGAACATACCCTGTCTGTGCTATTTGTATTTAGAGTTGAGACTTTATTCTCAGCTAGATATGAAATAACCAAAACTGTGTGATCTGAGCATGCAATAATACCTAGCTCTTATGCAGATACAAAAAGCAGAGCTTGGGTTTATATTAAAATTGCTACCCTCATTTATGGACTTATATGCTTAAAATTTCATTCCACATTAATTATTTCTTATACATTTTTGTTCTGGATTGGCTCCTTTGCTGCATTTATGTCACTGCTGCACTTGGCTTTATATGCTTGTGTATTTCTGTGTTTTGTTTCTTTTGTGTGTATGTTTTTGGTCGTTTTTTTCCAAACTTAACACCCTAAATCCAGGTAATTTGAAACAAAATCAGACTTGCTTTTACAAATCAAAACTTCCCAAAACGTTTTGCAAACAACTCTTCAAACACAAACTTTCCGTGTTACTTCCTACCTTAAAGCATTTGCTGTGACCATGGTAAGTAGGATCAAGACTTCAAAGAGTCATTTACCTCCCTCTGCTGCTTTTTAGTTTTTGAAGATAAACCTGCTGGTAAAATTCATTGCATTGCTCTTGTTCTCAGGACAGAGAGCCTCATTATGAGTGAGACTGAGCCATCCTTAGCCAGGAGTCATTCTTCATGCAAACAGGTCTATTAACCTCCCTGGATGGATCTAATCCTGACAAAAGGCCATTCACTCATATTGCCCTGAGCAAAACAACCTCCACCGTTGCTCTCTGTGGAGAGCTGGTGTGATGTGTGGCTGTAGTTGCTGAGAGTATTACTTTGAAACAGATTCTTTTATTTTTTCCACGTTGATCATTTCCCTTTCCTGGGAATCCAAGTGAAGCTGGCAGCTCATTGCATTGGTTTTCTTTTTCCCCTTTTTGGCACTGTTATTTATACAAAGGACTGGGTTGCAGAAGACAGATTTTTTTTACTGTCCTGGTTTGAGCTTGAACAGAACTAATTCTGTTCAGTGTTTTTTACTTTTCAGCTAAGTTTCTTCTAAGTGACTGCACTTTCTGAAGTCTTTGACTACTGCCAAAACAAAAGTTTACCCTTTGATGATGTTCTCCAGCCCTGCACTGATCATCTTTCTGCCAGCAGTACCTACATGACCTAAATTAATACACTTAACCTGAGCACTTCAGAGACTTCCAGATAGAGAAGTGCTACCAATGCTGCTGTACAGGTGAGAAACAAAGACTGAATAAGGCTATGTGTTAATGGAGAAATTCTTTCTACCTCCTAGTCACCTTAGTCAGGAGCTCTGCGGGTCAGGACTCTGCAGCATGCCACATAATGAACCTGTCATACTGCTTAGATGCAGTCTAAATGATTTTCTGTAGATCATAATGAAAGGGAGAATTTAGCTCAGTTCTTCATATTATATGTGTTCTTCATATTATAACCTGTAATGCTGTTTTGAAGGAGGAAGAGCAGGAGAGCAGATAACAGAAGATGTATAGAGAAGAAATGCCAGTGAGACTAACTTGTTGACCATGTCTGAACTTGATTAAACAATTTGAAAGAATGAACATCTTTAATGTTGTTAAAAAAAAAAAAATGTAAAAAATAATAAATGTGGTTGTAGGGTAGATGAGCAGGAGCTAATAATGTATTCTGCAGTAAATAAAGGACACTAAAATTCAGCCATAAAAGAAAATAAATAGATAGGAGAGAGTTGCATTATTCCATTTTTAGACTGAAATACATTATTACCCACTTAATAAGTACTATTGTTTTGTTCAGGGCATCACAGAGCATATGAGAGGACATCTCTTGGCTCCATGGCCTTTGCATTCTCAGTTAGATGATACGGATCTGAGATATAACAGATTAGCTTACAACAAATAGTCAGATCTCAGACCACTTAAAATAGTTTTCAAAGTGCTTTTCTTTCTTTCTCTTAGGAAGATTCTTGCATATCTACACTTATCTTGTAACTACCACTCAGTTACACCATTATTTAAACAAGTAATCCATTGAATACAAATAGATTTTTCATATGAATATGAATTTTAAGATTGGATTCTGATAATGTGGAAACAGAACACATTTGGTGCAAAAGCTTTCCATTAAAAAAGGACAGCTTAATTATATTCCATCTTAAGCACACTAGCTCAAAAATCTATTATGGGATTTGTTAGCAAAGGCTCTTGAGCTTCCCTAGAATCCCCCACTGAATGGCAACACCAGGGTTCCTCCTCCTCCCCCCATTATAGGATGCAGGCCATGTATACACTAAATAGATCTAAAAATGGTAAAAACACATATACATTTATACTAACACAGCCTCATGGAACCCAAATGAACGTTCAACATATCAGAATGCCCACTGAGTGCAGACTTGCTCATCAGAATCATGAGAAAAACTTTTAAACAGAAATGCCCATTGCTATCAAAGTACTCTTAGGAAGAATGCTACCTGTAATTGTTTTTTTTTTTTGTTGGTTTTGCTTTGTTTGGTTGGGCTTTTTTTAAAGAGTTAAAAATGAAGAAAGTATGCATCAGAATACATTTAGATATTAAATGCAGCAGGCACTGGGAAAAACAGAGCAGATATGGTTTATGTATTCAAGACAACTTTGCAGAAGTGTTTGCACAACTAGTAAGACTAAATTAATAATGACAAAAGAGCCCCACTGCTGGCATTGTTATAAATGGAGGGGTTTTATAAGCACCATAAATTATAGTTAGATTGTACTTGCAATGTATAAATAGTGCCAAGCAACAGGAGACTTCCATCTTCAGTCACTGAGAGTAATAATTCCTTATCAAACACTTAGTTTAATGCTTTTTAAATACCGTCCTATATCGTGGGCATTTTAACATGCTCATCCTTTGAGGTATTTTATTGTTTCCTTACAGTGACTACAGGTAAAGTTCAAGGATTTTGGAGCTATCTGGGAGAAAAAAAAAAAAAAGGAAAGAATTATCCCCTTCTCCCCATATATTTGCTAAAAATCCCCATTTTAGCTTTCAAACTTCTTTTTTTTCAGCTACAGCTCTTTAATTTTTTCAAAACTATCCAGATCTGGATGACATTAATTTCAGTTCTCCATACTGGCAGGAGTAGGAAGACTACAGTGGAGGAAGTCCAGATTTCTATTTATTTATAATTGTTTTAAAGTTATTGCACTCTGCTCTTCTAAGCATTGTTAAAAAATACAGCAAGAAAAATATGGTGTAGAAGATGGTGGGAAAGTCCTTCTTCCAGACATGCTAACATGGACACAATTATAGAGGTTAAATAACTACCATGGTTATTACTTTTTAATGCCACTGTAGTGCTCAAACAGCTGTGTGAGATTAGAACTCCACTTACCCCTGAGAATTGACAGTTTCATTTGCTCTCTGGAGCAACTGGGATAAAACAGTGAAAAGTTTTAACCGCATCTGGGGATCTTTGTTTGGCTGAAGACACGTCTTAAGAATGAGCATAAGGTTATTTAGAGCTCCACCTATGACAGGACCTAGAAAATAAACATAGGAGACTTATTTCAGAGTACCGAGTTCTATTAAGATGTTTAATAGACAAATGCATTAAAATCTGTAGTATGCCTGCTATAAAAATAGTACTGAACTCTCCACTCGTGCAGGGCAGCTGTTGATCCATGCTAGCCACGTTACACCACATCAGGCAGTCTGCAAATACTGAGGGAAGTCTCCACGGGCTCGGGTAGCCACAGCCTCAGCCGTGGCAGCAGGGTGCCCCCTGAAGCTCAGTTTACCCAAAATCTCTCTTAGGCAGCTTGGCACTGCTGCACCACGCCGCATTACGGAGCAGGGAGGTGTCAATGACACCCACTGGCTGCTGGGACCAGCAGTACCAGATGGCATTTGGGGCAGACTAATGCATCTGGAGGGGGATTAACACTGCTCCCTATGTAGCCCTGAAAGCTTGAGGCTATGCACAAAGTTTTGGTTTTATTGAACTTAATGAAAAATTATACTGAGCGTGGTATGACCATGACACCAGTAAGTATGATTTTTAATTCTTCCAAATTTTTCCACATGCAGCATTCAAGGGAAGATGTTTGTGACTCCCAGAGGCACAGGAAAGGGCATGTCTGGAAGGGTTTGCCTCCAACACTTGGATAAGAATTATTGGAGTGGTAGTCTTTCTCCATGTTTAAATGATGTTTATCTGCATTTTACAAGAGAATCTATCTTGTTAGAGACTATCTGAAACAAAAATATTTTCCAAATTCATTATCTAGTTTGTTAACATTCTCATATCCTATGATGAATTATTTTCACCACTAAACAAACAAAAAATCCCAAGTTGTTATCCCAACATTGGAAGAAGTAATTTTCCCAAAAAAGAAGGAAGTTTGTGCCTTTCTCCTTTATAATGATTAACATCTGCATGGTTTTAAAGAGGAAGAATACATATAAACTATATGCACGCTGTACCCTGCAAGCTTCTTGCCATAGAATGCTCTTTATGCTCTCTGTTTGCAATGAAATACTTTCCTCAGCTTTGCATCCTTGTGATGCACATTCCATTCAACTCCAGTCACTAAGAAAATCCTCCCAGAAGGAGACACAACACTGGCATTGCTGATGACAAGAATATTCCTCACACATGGAATGGGCAGACTGAAGCATTCAAGACTCCAAAATCAAGTTCAACAGCATTTAATATTTAGAAATCTAATATTTAAAACAATAATTAAAAACCCCTAAAATCTTTACTGTCTAGACTGAAGCAATACAGGGTGTTGATCTGAAGTTTGCTGCGTTTCTTTGCCAACAAATAGGTCTTTATTTTCACTGCATTAATCCAAAATACATTGCTTCCTGTGAGATCTTAGACATTTAAAAGACACTAATATTATATCAAACTGATAACAGTAAATTCAACAGATAGAAAATAAACTAAATGAATTTCATGGCTAATTTAATCTTAAGCATACATTTGTGAAAACCAGTAAAAACTGAGAAATTTGAAATAAATAAACCTGATGAAATTGATTAACAACAACAAGATGTGTGGGAATGAAAAGGAAAAAAAATAGCTCTAGGAGCTGTTGTGTCAGACAGAAAACACAGACAATAGCATATTACCAGTGTTGGGTGCAAGCCAAAATGTTTGCCCAGACATTTAATGATTTATTTAGCATTAAGGAAAACAGAGGCAACTGCCTAGAAGTCCCTCAGTCATGGAAATGGGAGCACAAATACACAGAGAAGTTGGCCTCTCAGCTCTTGTACTGAAAAAACTTTTTGTTCTTTCACACAGAGGAAGAAAATAGTGCTTGTGCTGGTTGCTGCACACACCAGCAAGTGGGTGCTTCACATAGGTTTGTAGAGGCTTTTTTTGAGATTCAAGGATTAAATGAAGAAAATACAGTCCTGTAAAACTTACCAGTCCACATTTAATCTGCTTCAGTGGCAATAATACTTCACCTGCAGCTGAAGTAGCTGTCTGCATCCCCTCTAACTAACAGAAGGTAAAACCCAAATAAACAGGACTTTCCAGTTTAATCATCCTAAAAGGGGTGCCTAGGTGAAGAGACCTGCCTGTCTCCATGTGCCCCTCCTGTAGATGCAGTCTGGAGAGCTGCATCTGAGGGACATTCCCTGGGCAGATCTGCAGCTAGGGGAATGAATGCCAAAGTGTTTCACTGATCTACACACAGCAACATGCAGAAGAACATAATGAGGAAACATTTGTACAGAACTATAGTACCTTTTGTAAGACTAGAGAATAGATGGAAAAAACAGATAAATCTTTGGACAGAAGCTACATCATTTCATCTCCCCATAAGCCTTATTTATTTCATTTACACAAACCCAAACTCTTCCATAAGTACTTTCAGCATGCTCCTTGCAGCCAAGGAGTCTTTTGGAATTTGAGCTGCTTCAACATTTTGGTTTTGCTTTCCATCATATTAATTTGTGAACTTTCTGAATCTTACACTATTCATTATAAAACAATCTGCAGGCTATGGAGATTATGACTATTTTTTTTTAGCACTACTAAGCCAGTCATACCTGAATGAGTTGCGATGACCTCTAACTGTAATATTTCTGGAGAATAGCATGTCCAAGAATCACAGGATACTGAAACCCCCTCCAGAAGCTGAAATATATGCTGTTTGTAGAGGCAAAGAAAACTATCCAGTCCCTGCGCTTCAGCTAATGAAGACATTGTTGCCTCTACCTGTTGAAATAGTGATAGGGCACATTTTCTTAACTGAAACAATGTTATAAAAGAAAGAAAAGCTTTTAAAACTCATAATTGTACTTTAAGAATAGAAGGGCCACAAGTTTTACATAGTTTCTCCTTGGACAATCAAGACTGATACTTAATGTCTGCTTATACTACATCCATTACCCTTAAAAAACAGTGAAACATTTGTCCTGATTTCAAAACAAACTCATGAGGAACACAACAATGTAACAGCAAAATGAAAGAATGTCTAATTCACGTGAAAACCTTCCAAAAACGAACTACATCATAAAAATGCTCTTGCTGGTTTTAAAGACGCAGTGTTTTTCCTCCTTAATTTAAGGATGCTTTAAAACATTAACACACAGGGAACTTCTCATAGTCTCATCTAGCAGGATACAGCAGCTTCTAAAAGGTTGCTGTTGCAGCTCAGAGCAGACATGGTATTTCCCCTCCCCGCCCTTTTATTTTCACCCCCAATTTTAATTATGCAAGAGACTCTAATTACAGTAGTTGGGTAGGTTCAGTCTGAAATTCTCAATTTCTCTTGCTTAGAAGTACCAAAATCCCCTGTTACATAAGAAATACTGTCTTTATATTTACATTTAGACTATTTCATGAGACAGACGAATAAAATATGTACAAATAAAACAGGTAAGAAGAACTACTAAATGAAATCCAGACACGCTCACGCTTGGCAAGGAAGTACACAGATTTTCTTAATCACTTGTAGATGATGTATTTCAAAGCAAAGGAAAATTTGCTTTTATGGTTCCTGAAGATTCCTGAAAGAAAAGTACAAACTTCTCTAAGGAAAAGATTAAAAGCATGCTGAAAGCAGCATTTATAGTCTTGGTGATTTCAGTGGACAGTGAATCAAGAATGGGGAGCAAGGCAGTGTTAGACCCCCACTGAGAAATAAGACATGTTGTCAGCATGGCCAGGTCTAGCAGGGGCAGATGGGCTGCAGTGTGAGCAGTGACATCACTTGACTCTAAGTGGTTCAGTGGAACTACGAATCGTAGGCATATTTTTAAGATGAACTCAACCACACAAGTTAGCTGAAACATGTCTAGGACCTTTAGGATTATACAGACTCAACACTTGCCAGACAAAGATGTTATTATGGAAGTACCAGATGTGGAGAAAATAAATGAGATTTCTAAGGGGGGAAAAAAAAAAAGATATCTGGATTTGCCAAGGACAAAGGTTACTCTTAAAGCAGGTTTGCCTCCCGCACAATAGATTTCTCCTCTCTGGAAGCATTCTGCCAGCCAGCCAAAACAACTCAGAATAACTTACATGTAAAATATGAATTCAACTTTAAATTAATTGGGACATTTCACATGATGGAATGTGTCAAGACAGAAACTGCTCTCCATTATTAATCCCACCACAATCTGCAAGATCTATTTTTCCATTGAACAAAAGAGATACAGAATAATACATTGTTTACAGGTGATGTAAAATAAACTCTTTAAATAGTTTTGAGACTGCAACTGACAAAAAAAGAGAGAATAAATTAAATATGCCAATAGACTGATGTATATATTCTCATGAGGAAGCGTCTCACAGTTAAAAAAAAAAACAGCAAAGGCGATTTTCTTTCCTATATTTAAAAGCTAACAAGTTTAATGATACATTATTTTCATCCTAATTATTGTGTTCTCAGAGAAGAGCCAAGATAGCACATGCCACTGGTAACAAAACAAAATCTTATCTTCAGGTCAGCAGTTAAATCACTGACAAGCTCAAGACTTGCTTAACAGACTCTAAGAACTGACAGAGCCTCAGTCTGTTTGGGGCTGTAAACCACACTGCTCCTCAGGATACCAAAGTGCTCGGTTGGTGGTCTTGGTCATTTTCCCTAGCCCAGAGCAGCCAGAAACACTGATGGGCACAAAGCAAAGCGGCCAAAAATCAAGCGAGACTGGGTGTTCACAAGCAGGCCACTTCAGCTGTGGTCTCCACTACCTCTGGGATCTTCTGTAACCTTCCAGTAAAGCCTGAATTGAAGTTCTAGAAGGCAAATTTTTTGAGTAATTTATGTCTGTACTCAAAATCTTTTGATCCTGAATGCAGACTTCTTTTCGAACAACAACTTTATACTTGTAAAGCTAGATGGAACACATTTGTTCTACATGGTCTTAAGCTATTTTAACAACGACTTTTGCCTTCTGCAACTTGTGCAGCTCACTTTGAAGTTTTCATAGTCTGTAAGTGGGGAAGAAAAATCTAAAAATTCAAGCCATATTTGTCTTTGTGACTAATTTGAAATATTGCAATTATGTAATCTTGTTGCCAGATTTTCTATCGTCTATCTGAAAGAAAGGCTAATGAGAAAAAGGATTCTCATCCAAAGTACTGTCAACTTTAAAAATCATCTGTAACTGCAGGAACATCTTAAACTTTCAGTCATCTTGGAAGATTAAACTTTTCTGTACAGGAAAACCAGGATTTATCTCCACGAAACCGCTTTCTTTGTAGGAGTCTGAATTTTTAAGGTTTCAAACAGACACTGCTGACTTTATAGACCACTGTAGGGCTAAACAGAGAAGATACTGCAAAGCATTCCAGATCCATCTATCCAAGGCTTATGTGGACAGATTGTTTAAAAAAAACCACCCCAAAACCTAAACAAACCCCCCATGAATCCCACCCTTGCACTGGCTCTCCGGGAGACAGATCTTCGTGCCATACTTCTTTGACCTGCAAAGTCTTTTCAATACTTGTTTCAAGCTTTGTTGTGTTTTACTTCTTTCAGAACAGTTTTCTAAGTGTATGCCTTCTTGGAGGCAGGCTGTCAACTATGGGGCCATAAATACTGATGCTATGCAGGCCTTTGGAATACCATGCCTGGGAGCAAGAGAAAAGGAAGCAGAATAGCCACCGCATTTAAGGAGCATGTTTGAAAAAAGGCAACTTGGATAGGTCACAGTTGGGCTGCATGGGGATGGCTTGCTGATTTATTTGATATTTTAGCTTGGGGAAGAAAGGGGAAGAGAGAAATAAGGGGGTGAGATAATGTTTAGCCAAAAAAGCTCATCTATTATCAGGGTATCTACAGACGTCCTTGATTTTAAAGCATTCCTACAGCATTTGAACTTTTGATTCTTGGTGTGGAGGTAAAAAGGTCAACTACTGCAAAAATCAGTCTGATCTTTGTCTAAAGACAAAAAAAAATCAATTATGAAACTATTGCTTTTTAAAGGCTAGTAGAGCTCTTGATCTATAGGTGCATTGTTCTTTAATAGTCAAAAAATAAATCTGAGCTTTTCCTGGCCACTCGTGTGCTCCTGTGTATCATTTAACAATAATCCAGTGACTTATATCCCCCTAGGAAGTACAACAGTCCAACCAGCACCAAAAGGATGCCCAAGGCTCTGCAGAATCCAGCAACAAGCATAAACTCTTAAACACCTCCTGTACCAAAACTCTGTCTAAACCACGTCCATTAATATTAATTCATTAATATCCACTCAAGTAAAGTGATCTTCAGCAGCAGCCCACATCCACCTGTCAGCTTCCCATGCTCCAGTAACATACTTCAAGCCATCTATTCTGAAACCGAACCTAAACACAACTTAAAAGAACAAACAAACTCCAGTTTTAACTGTAGCCTACAGACCCATACTGAGTGTTACTGACCACAAAATAAAGCTGAATTCTAGGACCCTTCTCAGAACCAGCACATACTGCAATTCTATGGGCCTTCAAACAAAGTTATGCAGAAATGTAATTCTACAGGCTCTGCTGTCCCAAACTGTAAACCCAACTCCAAATCTGATTCTTGTATTAGTCATGTATGTGCAATGAGAGACACAGAGCCCTGGGCTAGCTACAGGCCATTCATCCCACTGGCACAGCCCACAGCCAGTGAACAAGCCTTGCATGACGTAGCAATAAGGCAAACTCCTAAATTTTTTACCCAAGTAATATCCTTTCCTGCTATGTCAGCCAAGCTCAGGTATCAACCAGGTTTCTGCAGACCACACTTATGTAGGAGCCACTATTTGCCTTCAAATCATCACTGTGTGTTCTAGTCTTACAGTGTTTGCAAGATGTAATAGTACATTCACCTCTCCTGGCACCAGTGTTGCCCTAGACTTTAACCTCAACTTTAGTCCCACCCTAACTCTGCTGCTTCCATAAAAGAAATAACCTGTATGATCCTCGTGTCTGTTGCTGCTAATCTTAACTACAGCCCTGTGGATTTTAGGATTCAACATTAAACTGAGATCTCCAAACTGGAAATAGACGCAGCACCTAAGGACCATGAATTGTCATCTGGCAAAGCAGAGGCATCAATATTTTCACTGAAAAATTATAACATTCATAGATTTTTTTTCACCCTTCAGTAACTTCTAAATATTAAGCAACCACTAGAACAGTGCCAAAGGGAGAGGTCTTTGCAGAACAGCTTACAACTAAACACAGAATGCAGGTATTCTATCATGCTTCTTTCATTCTAACAGGGTGAATCTGATGATTTTGAAGTTATATGTCTATCTAAATGTTTAACTATTAAACTTCTATATAACTTTTGGCACAGGTTGCTACACACACACAAATACAGATGAAAAATAGGTAACCCTCAAACAAAACTAGTAGCATTGTACAAGTTCTTAGCTCGTATAAATAAGATCTATTCTGACTGGGATGTTGCCTTGATCTGTTTCAAACAGACTAAACCCAAAGTAATTTCAGCTATGGCAAAAGATGGGGAGACAGAGTACAGTCCAGGTCACAACATCAAATCATTTCAAACTCTACTGATTCTTGTGGAAGAGCTCTTAGGTTAAGCATGTCTGTTGCTTGAACCTAACAGCAAGACCAAGAATTATGGTTCTGTTTAGACAAAGTATCTATAGTAAAAATCAGAAAGACAACAAAATATCAAAGCAGCTCATAGTTTACCTTTTCTTTAAGGTGCTGAGAACTTGGTATTGCCATTATTGTTACCAAAATTTTCATTAGTTGTAAACTAATTTCTTTGCAGTCTTCCTGGCATACTTCAATCAATGCTTGCACACAATAAAGCAACTGCTCCACATAGAAGACCTATTTTTTAACAAAAGCATAAAATTATTATGTTTTGCTATAAAATATAACATTCTCTTCAAGGGAGAGACATGGGAAATGCCAATAATAAAACCTGAGCACTGTGTAATTCCCTAGAGTTGGTAACACATTGATAATTTCATGTGAGTTCTTTTGATTACCTACATTCTATCTTTTACAGAATACAACATAATGTTCCTCCCAGACCATTTGTTCATATTTGCCTTGTCCTGTTAACAAAATAAATGACCCTGCTCTTAATCACACAATTGCTCCACTGTGAAGAAAGCCATCAAAGCATTCTGGAATGATTACCGAGGGCACTTTCTCATTCTGAAGTGCAACTAGTTAATTAATAACATATTTATTAGAACTCTTTCAAATATTATTCTATGTTTGACTATTTTGAATGGAGCATTAATGGTTAAATACATAAATCAAGAAAACCTGAGCGTCTGTTTGCATCTCAGGCTATTTATCTCCTCTGATGCAATATAACCCATGTTATCTCAATTCAGCTGATACCAGTTAAGTTTGTATTGTTGTCAGGTAGTTTGCAATAACTTCTGTGATAAAGTGCATCAGATACTCCATGAAGCTATCAGATTACATTCAACAAACAGTAGTGGCCATCATTACAAATTTACTTCCAAAAAAATTAAATCAAGTCTAGGAATAGCTTAGCCATAAATGATTATGTTATGGATCTCATGGACCTAGTCAATCCTTAGCTAAGCAGTGTCTGTGCATTCAGTGTTGAAAATAAAGATTGTTTTACAAGGCCAAAGGGTAGAAGAAGTCCACCAAATGCTTCAGCTGCAGATGAATGTAGCTACTGCATCTAATGCCAAATGGGAGTGCTAAGCTTACAACCTCATAGCAGTTTTGCAGATGTACTTCAGGGAATTGTTATTTGAACAATCAGGTTATAGTGCTTCCAGTTATGTGAGTTCCTAATCACCACAGGCTTCATGGAGATTAAGGTTAATTCCTGCATCCCTGGTACATATTCCATTTGGGAAGAGGCCTAATGAGGGAAGAACTTCAAACATATATTCTTCATTGGCTCAAGAAGACTATCACGCTAGATTGGGTCTATGCACATGAATAACTGTTTTAAAGGGACATGAAGTCAGACTTCTCTGCAGGCACAGCACTGGCCCTTTTTTGGGCATCTTAAGAGCAAGGGCCTAACAAACTTTTGGGGGAATGAAAGCTGGGATTTAATTTGAGGGGGAAATTGTAAGGATTCTTGTCATCTCTAATAGATCTATTTCCACATCCAAGCAATTGAAGGGGAAAAAAAAGGTGCTGGAAGGTAAAAATCTCTATTCCTCATTGAAGTGAATCTCTCACCTCCTTGTATAGCAATTGATTAATACTCTTCAAATGCTAAAATGAAAATGGTCTGCAGGCTCAGACATGAGTTAAAGGTACACTTGGGAGCAAAATTCTAATTTATAAATTCTTCCTCCTAGATTCTCACTTAAAGAGAAGCCACCGGTCCCAAGAGTTTACAAGTCATGCTCCTAAATGTACACCTAAGAGACTGGTACCTTCCCTTTAGAACAGGGAACAGTTAAAGTACAAAACAAAAATTAGAAGATGATATTAAGAGGGCGTCTTTCTCAGGAAACCTGACAGGACAACTACAGTGGACTGTGAAAAGTTTTCAGTCATTTTTGCTGATGAGGGTCAAAATATATAATCTTGTTTGGATTGTGAACACAAGGCATTTCAAAACATGTTCAGTTCTGCCTCTGCACGAGCCAAAGTAGTGCTCTATTAGTACAGCACATACTAAAAGCTTCTTCTCTCCCTGTCATGCCTTTTCATTTTCCTCCCACTATCTGAAGCCTTTTACAGGAGTTCTGAAACTTGAACCCACGCCTGCTGAGAGAATGGACCGATGGAAAGTTCTGGGGAATAACAGATTTGACCACGAGACCACAACATGGCCCAGGAAGGATTGGGAAGCTCCTGTTTTTTCCTCAGACACATGTCCACAACTATATCCTTAGACATGGTGTTGTAGGTGTGCAAGAGAGGGATAAGAACGGGAGCATTTAGGGAGAACAAGGGGAAAAGTAAGTTGAGAGAACCATTGGTCTAAAACTTTGGTCTGCTGTGTGTTTTCCAGCTAGCTTTACCTCCTCAGATCGTTCACAGACTTCAGCTTGTGACAGTGTGTTGCCAAGATGAGTCAAATGAGGCTGTAAGATTTCTTTTGGGCTACCTCGAATCACTGCAGTTAGAACCATTATACAAGATGCCTTAGGTGTCTTCTCAAAGGCTGATGTGATCAATTTCACAGACACCTTGGGGCTGACAAATGTTCCAATCAATTCTGCTGCTTTCACACACTGAAAAAAACAAACAGGGATAACTTTAGGATTTTCCTGAAAACACAAATTTCATTCAACATACCATGGGCTTTTTCTTTCTGTGAATCCAGCTGTTATTTTAAATGCTTCAGCAGTTGCCTTGTAGGCTTTTTCCACTCACTCAGTAACGATTATATGCAGGAAGAAATTTTCCTGACATGTGCTGTAAGCACGTAACAAGGTGTGCAGCACTCCTCAGCATCAGACAAACTTCCATGAGAAAGTAATGCACAGAAATTAAGTGTACAACTCAGTGTAATAAAGTCTCTAGTTTAGAATAACCCGATGCTGCAGATTTAGTGGTTTAGCATTTTGTCCTCCAAATGCTGTGGCATGGTCTTAATGCACTCACCACCCATCTATTAAAAGCAACAGCAAGAAAGGAAATTTTTGTTATTGTACTGTATTCTGACACTAACATTACAGATTTGGTTTATTGTGGAAGCACTGCCATAGAGATAGAAGCAGTGGGCAGCTTCCCCTACTCCTTTAACCAAAAAGGTTTAAATTACTATGTGTTCCCATGATATTTACATTCTTTATTCTACTCACCCATCAGTATGTTGCATTCCACATGAAATACCATCACACCAGAGCTTACTCCCTGACTGATGGAAAATATTTACAATCTTATGCATGAATAATGATGTAGTCAACTCCTGCACCCTTACCTGTGTAAGAGGAACATTTCTTCCTAATGCATTTAATGGTTGGCTCATTTCCCCAAACTTGAAAGCTTATTTCCTTTTGTATATACTTTTTAGTCTAGTGATTTAGCCATGCATTTTTAATTGCACCTAATTAGTACTTGAATCATTCTATATTTTTTTTAGTCATGTAGCCATAGTTTAAACCTGCACTATATACAGCTGTTTCTTTTCACAAGGGTGAAGACTCAAAATAGTTGTAACATATTCTGTGTAAATGTGAACCCTATCCTCCTCCTTCCCCTCCTCATTTGCCATAAAGAGAAAGACTTTCAGTGCTCTGAAAACTGGAAAAGGACAATAGAATTAAACAGTTCAAAAAAACCAAATTGATTTATTTGTATGAATCAATTATCTACTCATTCTAACAGGGAAAAAATTTAAAAAAGGGAAAAAGGATAAGAGACCATCTGGTCTTTCACTCTTGCACATCTCCCACCTAATAATACCAAATGAGAAGGATATACACATTTTCCAAGGTGGCTGTTCTCTGAAAGAGGTTCTACAGAGACAAACAATAAAGGAGATAATCACAGTACCCTGGAAATCAGCATCACTAAAGAGATAGAAGGCATTTACAAGCAAAAGTTGATGAAGCTTAAATTTTGGTGCAAGGAAGAGTAAAATTGAATACAGAAAACATCTCCTAATTGGGAGTAAATCTCTTGGAAGCACCTGTGAGAAGATTAGTGGCAGAATTCTAAGAGAGAAGTATAGTCAAAAAAAGGCAAGGGAAAACTATGTGCTGCTTGAACACATACTTTGGAATTTATATCTCTAGCAACAAGCACTAGATGGGAAATTTGATCAGGACAGCAGGGCCATGTGGATTTATTCTTCTGTGTAAGTTTTCTTATGTATTTTATACAAGCACTAAGGAACCTCAAAAGCTGTATACCCACAGTGCCATACCTCTTAGAATATCAGTTCTGGGGCACTGATTTCCTAAGGCACATGCATCCCCTTTTGAGCCAGCAAGATGACTTCTGAGAGCAGATTTACTTCTTTCTACTGCTGATCCCTGTGTGACTGGCTTAGTTTAGAAGCTCAATCTCACCATAAAGTAACAGAGTTAAAGGTCAGCTGCTGGTTCTGAAAGGGGAGGTAGAAGCGGTGGAATAGCTAAAAGGGGATAACAGACTAAGAATTTGGGGAAAGGGAGGAATCCAGGAAAATCCAGGAAAAATTAAGGGAAAGAATTGTACTAAGAAAGACTAAAGAATAAAATTGTAGGGGAAAAAAAAAAAAAGGATGATTTCAGAAATTAATATCACAGGGTATATAGCTCAACTGGCAGCAGGAACTTAAAAGAAAAGTCTGACTTAGGAAATAAGCTTTTCTGATGTTGGTTGGACTACCTCCATCCAGTAATACAAGAACACATCTATTTTGACATAAGTAAGTAAATATAATGTTCACACGTTTCTAACATCCACAAAAACCCAAGCCTGATCCTTCAGTCATGGGCAATTTCCAGTAACCTAAGGTAAGGTCAACCCCCAGAAGATGGACTCAGGACTATGAAGAACACGCTCTTTATTCAGTGTGCAATACTTTAACAGATTAAACTTACATTTTTAACCACTTCAGTTTCTTCATCCAAGCATGCTTGGTACAAAGTTCTAAGCAGTAGCTCCATGTGTTGTGTTATGTGATCCTCTGCATGCAGCAATAATGTATAGAGAAGCTGGGAGGCTTTTATTCTTGTGCTTTCAACCCAGTCTGTTATATCATGACAGAGACCTGGAAGAATTTTGGAGAGGTTTCTTGACACAAGTTCCCGACAACCTAGTCCTGGTCGAGTCACTAGAAGAAAAACAAACAAGCAAACAAACAAAAATAAACCAAAAAGCAACAGAAATATCAGAGGAAAAGCCAATGCACATTAATCCTTAGAAAAGTTTAAAGGCCCCAAGGTAAGAGCTAGGGGCGTCTGCTTCAGTGTGGGACAACAGGTTCAAATGCTGCTGAGGAATTTACCTGTGCAAGTTACATTTCTTTAATATCTATTGCAGAATTTAAAATCTACACAGCTCTCTGAAAATTTATTTTCAGATTTAAACATAATTTGGAGGGGGAAAGAGAGGTAGAAGTCACAAATAGTACACAGGACATGAAGTGCAGTAAAACAGACAATGTCAGCTGTGCCCTCTAAAGGAAAAGGTTAAAGGTGTATCTGGGGAATTAGAAGTAGAAAGGGCATTATGACTTGTACAAGTGCTGTCTAACAGATCAGGCCACCAAACTCATAGGAGTTTGAAAATCACAGACATTACATGATCTCTTCTCTAAGGCTTTTCAGGAAAAGCTGCTCACTGATGTGCCTCTTCTATCTCTGTCCAATTTACATATTAAATAATACATTTCAAAACAGTATGAAAAAATATACAGGAATTGAGGGAGGAGAATATGTACTTTTTTTTTAGATTGAATTTAATTTGTTAAGACTTTGTAGAAAGTAGGGTTTTGTTGTTAACTTCTGGTTTTAAACAAAACCCCAAAGTGAACAAATAGATATTCCCTACCTCAATAAAGGATGCAGGTTTCTAGAGAACTAATAAACTTGCCTTTCCTAACAACTGCTCACTGTCTTGACTTGGTAATCATCAAATTTACATCTTAGCTCACTTATAAATCTCAGAGACTCAGAAAAGCAGCTTGACCAACATCACAAGCACCTATTAAACCTCTTCCACGCTTTGCACATAAAGCTATGACAGTGCTTTCCGAAGAACTGCAACAAACGTCTTAGAGACTATTCCCACAGGCATCCTTCTTCCTTTATACTGCACATGCCTATGTAGAAACAAAACCTGAAAAGCTGTTCTCTGAGAACCACCACTTTGTAATTGCCACTCACAATGTTCATAAAGTGGTTTAGGAAAGAAATGTTATGTGATGTCAAAACCCAATGGATGTGTGAGTGCATTTTTTACTGCTGGTACAGAGTTCTCCTGCAAATGCTCAGAAAGGAAATGAATTATCTCAGGAGATTTTCCTGCATGGGCCCAAATGCTAAGAGGAAAACAGACTAAAGTAGAACAGCCTGAAGAACACAAAAAGCTTACAGAAATGCCTGTAAAATACCTAGAGTAGGAAAAAAATGAAAATTCATGCATCAGGGCGTGAATTGCTGCTGCTTTTGTCAGTGGAGGATAACATTTTGGATTATGAAAACTGACAACAAATAGCAAAAGGTCAAATAAAGAAATCAACTTTAGACAGCAAATACAGACTGGCATCCTACTTGACCTGAGGCAGAATTTTGTTTAAAGAATTTTGACCATTCTTTATTGCCAGTTCCTTCATTTCAGATGTTCAAATACAGGCATTTACCCCTGTAGCTACTCCTGTCAAAGACTTCCCTGCTATAAACTGTCTGCACCTGTATCCTAAGGCAATGACTGCTGTTGCTCAGTGGAAAGCTATTCAGCTGGTTGGATGACACCAGGTATGAATTCTATCTCTATTCTTCCTCTGACTTGCAATATCTGTCATTGTGAGATCAAAGCACAGGGGGCCTCATATGTTAAGTCCATTAGCTTGACAGCTGGACGAAGATAGTTAAGTAAAATGTAATATAAACTCACAGTTGTAAAAAGATATTCTGCTACATTAAATAAATCAGAAAAAAAAAAGCAAACAAAATGTTAGACTACATCCTTATCATATTAAAAAAATATTTGTGGAAGGGGAAGAACGGGGAAGTACACACAGAATAGCAACTCATCCAGATACAGTCTGTGGTAGGATACCACAAATTATTACTTGAAACTAAGGTATACTAGCATCTCTGATAGAGTTTCATATCTGTAAGATTAAGTAGACAATCACCCTTTCCTCTCATTTTTCTTCTCTTTTGTCATATAAAGCCTAATCATTACTAAGACAAACTTTGGAAGTAAAAATAAGCATCACAGCAGGAAATTGTATCTTAAAGTCTCCATTATCTTGGGACTCAAGTCCAAGATTATCAGGTCATTTCTTCAAAATATTCTTAAGTTATGCAGATATATCTGTGTGTACATATGGAAACACAGAATCATATAACTGCTTTGGTTGGAAGAGACCTTCAAGATCATCAAGTCCAACCATTAACCCAGCACTGACAGGTCACCACTAAACCATGTCCCTCAGGACCACATGGTGGTTTTCAACTCCTCTAGGGATGGGGACTCCACCACTGCCCTGGGCAGCCTGGGCCAGCCCTGGACAACCCTTTCAGGGAAGACATTTTTCCTAATATCCAGCCTAAAAACCCTCTGCTGCAACTTGAGGCTATCTCCTCTTGTCCTAATATTAAGACCTTTAAGACCACCAAATCCAGCCATTAACCTATGCATTCAAGCCTTAACTGCATCATGCCATCAGGCAAGATGGATGAAAAGCCAACTAAATGCAGGGCTGGAACACTGCCCGAATTTTTGAAGTGTATTTATTGTGCTAAAAAGATTACTTCAGAAAGTACATATTGTTTAATTATGAAGAAATTGATAGATGCCCCTTTCTAAAAAAAAACCAAAGCACTGTACACACCCAAAACCCAACATACACCTAGAGAAAACTGAACAAGGTACCAGCATTAGCAACAGAAATGGTAACAACTGTTTCAAGGGCTATGGTGTGAAGCCTTTTGTGACCTTCACTATGTCACGGTCATTGCAAAAAAAGTGACTGGAGCTTAAACTCTCAACTTCATGCATTTATGTATGTTAAAATATTCTATGACTGCCAGAAAAAAAAACATGCCTCTGCCATCGTTGATGGAAGTAAAAGCATTCTTCACCATTTACAAATCCCTGAGGGAATATTATATACAAAATAAGGAAGAAAGAAAAAAAAAAGTTGGGAAGGCTAAAAGATCAACTTGCCTGTCTTCAAAGCTAAACACTTCTGTCAAACCAGTCACCATTATGAAGTGCTTCCCCTTTCATTCAAGCATTACTGAGTAAAAAAACTTTAAAGGAAAAAAGAAAAAAACCACACACACACACAAAAAAAGAACCCACCCCAAAAAAGTGTAATTTCAAAGCAGGGTGGACTCCAGAACCCACTGTCATGGAAAGGATTTTGCTGCTGGGTATCCTGTGATGGGATTGTCACGTAGGCACAAGTCAAGCATGAACCTGTTCTCTCACACCAAAGGAGTTTTTGTTTTGCTAAATATGAGTATGAAAATCGATAAATGACCCATCAAAACCCTCTTTCTCACCAAAACACATGTTCTTAAACATTAACTTTATGAACCTGAGACAAGAAATAAGCTCCAAGCTACTGCAAACATAACGTTTTAAAGCTACCTATAAATCATGCAGTAGTAAAAAGTTATCTACTGATGCTGCATATCCTGGGGTTGTGTGTATGATAAAGGAAACTGTTGTTTCTGTTGCCATGTTCTTCATGTACACTGGCAGATTTCAGTTAGCATCCCAGTTTCTCACAAATCAGTCTGAGAACAGTTGACTGCAAATTCTTTTCCCATGCCAATCCTGTGGATCGTTAATGCTGTGTCCAGTTCTCATTATTCAAGGACTCAGCTCACAGGTTCTTTCACCCTGCCTTCCTTTCCAGTTGCCTCCATGCCCATTCCCCTCCTTTCCAGTCACCTCCATGCCCATTCCCCTCCTTTCCAGTCGCCTCCATGCCCATTCCCCACCTGGCTGTTGGCTAATGTACAACTTTCTGCTGCTTCTGCATCACTGCTTTCTCCTTTTCAGCACAGGCATTTTCATTTACTCTTTCTCCAAAATGCATTTTGGGATTAATGGAAACACTGAAGGCAGTTACTGAACAAATGGGGGTTAAAATTTAAATTTAACATTAATAACTTTTATATATAAGCTATATGTTATGTTTTTATGTATGCTACCATTATACATTGACTAATACCACATCTCACACCCTGCTCTGCTGCCAATACTGCACTGCAGCTCTCAGGGATTATTCAGGAAGTAGAACCCACTTCCAGTGCAACACTTACCTCCTTTGGGATAATGAGCTGGTGAAACACTAAAATCCATCTTATCCTTCAGATCTTCTTCATTCTCCTTCTCCCACTGCAAGCCTATCTCTTCCCAATAAGTCTGAGCCAGTTTTCTAGACACAAAAGAAGAGTTTCATACCATCACACATCCAAAAGAAAAGCATCTGAAAATAAAAATTCTGGAAACTCTAGCTTCTAAAATACAGCTGGAAGGATGGGAAGCATTCTTGCCATTTAACCTAGACACATTAAGTTGAAAGTTTATGCTTCTTTTGTACTCGGTGAGCAGAATTCACCTCTTCCAAAGAATAATTCTGTCTACGTGTACCTCTCTGTCTTCATCTCCCTCACATTTACTTGCATCTACCATAAAAGGACAATACCATAAAAGTTACTAAAGATAATGCTATAATTTTGAACTTGGGAAAAAAAAAAGGTTTTTTTTTTTCCTCCAAGCAATACATCTGTGAACACAGAACACTTTCATGCACAACAACTATTTAGAGAGAAAAAATAAAAAAGGCATTCTGCTTACGTGTTTTCAGGAATTTCATCAGCAAAGCTGCCAAGTAACAGAGGGATCAACTTGTGGAAATAGGAGTATCTGTCTTTTAGGTGCAACAGCCATTCTCCAACGACGGCTGTTAGAGCGTGCCGAACCTACACGGCCACAAACAGACTATGTTAACTGTCAGGAAAACACCAGAAAAGTGAAAAAATAATATTTGCTTTCAGTACATAAGACTTGGGAGAGTGCATAGATAACCTCAGAAGAAATTACAAGGACCCAGGATTTCCTCACTTGCAGGAAGCATCTGAAGTAACATGCAAGGTATGATGCTCCCTCTTGTGTTCTCACTCTGGCTCAGTCTTAGCCTGCTGCACAGAAGTCCGTCTCCAAGAGGAAGACAAGATACAGACCTAACAGAGAATTACTGCCCCACTTGCATTTTATGAAGGAACCAATACCAGAAATATTTGCTAAGCATCTGAAATGGCCACAGAATCAAGTCTCAGAGAGATCTGACAGCAGAACTTAAGACAGAAATTGAAGGTACTCATTAAAATAAAAAGGTGCCTACACATTTCAGTGGCCTGCAGAATTAGACAGCAGCTGCACAGGTCACCAGCCTTAGTTTTGGACAGCTTACAATTGACAAAGCCTGTGTGTGTCATATTTACACATCTCAAGTGAATGAATGAAAGCTGAAAATAGGGAGGGCGGTAGGTGAGGGAGGGAGAGAAAAAAACCAAAAACATCCTAAACCAGATGTAAAATAAATCCAGCAAAGCAAAGCACACCTTGGGAATCTCGTCAAATAATCTCTGGGCCAGATGAGAGAGAACATCATCCACAGACTTTCCATTTCCAAACTGTATCACTGCTCCAGTGGCCTGAATCACATCAACACGGACTCTGTAGTGCTGGTGTGAAATCGTTTGCATTAGGGGTTTTATCAGAGATTCTGACTGCAGATGGAAGTGTTCTGTTAGGGCAGAGAGACAGAAATGTCAAACATGCTTTTCTCTGGGTGGGTGACAGACCCTGACCAACGTGATTTCTACAACATTACCAAGCAGCCTGGTTAATGTTGCTGTCTTCAGGTAGTGTGCAGAGTTAAGCTGATGCTATACTGTAGCTGAACGCCAGACCCTGTACACATCCCTAACCCTCTACTCTATTACCCACAAGCAGCAACGGCTCAGCATCCATCCCTGGCATGGTTCTTCTCCAACAGATCCTCCAAGGCCTGCGAAGCACAGCACCGAGGGCATGTGCGACTTCTCATGCCCTCTCCTGCTGCACCCCTGCACCCTCCTGCCG